TGATAGGCAAGAAGGATAAAATTGGGAAAGGCTGTAGCGGAGAATGTACAAGCGTGGAGAGAAAGGGAGAAAATTATATAGACAAATGAAAAGGAGCGCAATTTTCATCGATAACGATGTGCAAATGTGCAGATCCGATGTCAGACATGTCGGATGAAGAGAGGGTGGGGAGGACCAATTAAGGTAGAGGGAAATGCGGTGTATGATGCGACTTGCGCAAGTGGTATCAAATGTCAAGGAAAGGAATCACGCCCCGGGTAATAATATGAAACGAAAGGACTCCAAAAGGAAAATGAAACGAGGCCCGGATGCATCTATAAAAAGGGCTGCAGGGGTATGAATGTGGGGGAAATGAGAAACTTGCAATAAATTAGACGAATGCCCAATGCCCATATGTGAAAGAAGAAGAATTGATAAAAACACCCTCCAAAATAGCCAGACCGTGTAAAAAAAAAAGAAAAAAAAACCCTGAATCCATACGCCTTGAGCTATTTTGGTTGCTCGGTGTTTGTTCTGTTGTGGCGCAATTTAGCGCAATTTTTTGTGCTTTTCGAAACTCAAAAGGTTGTGATGTTCAAGATGGTGGTTGTTGGTTGGGACACTTAGATACAGTTGGATCCACGGGCAAAGTAGTCGGATTTCTTGTTGTGAAGCTCGGCCTCCTCATAAGGAGGAGTGGGCCAATGGCCGTTTGTGGCCGCAGGATCAATCTTGTGGATGTTCAACTTGCTCGGTGTCGACTGCTGACCAAACGTAGCACTGTCCTTGGCCGTGGGTGACGGGGTAGGGTAGGGATTCTGCAGTGTACGCGAGTTTTCTGACTGCCGGCGAACACCACTGTGTGAGTCGGCAGCCATTGACTGGGTCAGAGCCAGACGTCTAGCTGCCTTGCTGGCGGAGTTCAACACCTCATCAAGCAACTCATCTTCCTCCTCAGGGGTCTCGTAGCGGTGAACCGGGTGGGTGGACATCTGCATGGCACGGCGAGTCCTGCTAGAGATAGGAGCTGGGGTGTTACCGGTGACCTGAGGCATTGACTGACGCTTGGTGTGGCCGTCAGCGGAATTGTTCAAGTGCACCGGGACGTTGCTCAGTGTAGACGAGTCCAATGAGTACTTGGCACATTGAGGAGTCTTGTCCAGCTCGGCCGAGTCGGAACCTTGCTTTGGCTCACTGGTAGGCCCATCAAGAGCCACAGATGAACGGTTCGACCACGGGATGCAGCCTGTGTTAGCCTCCATATCATCAGCAGACGCTGCTTGGTTTCGCCCAGACAATCTGCGGGCACGCTTACGCAGATGCGAGAAGAAACTCTCCTTTGTGGTTGGGGTGTGGGTTCCGGAACCGTTGAGTATCCTTTCGGCCTCTAGGCGATTCTGGTCCGAGTAGTGGTTTCCATGGGAGTTGAGGGACAATTGACGGCCGATCTTTGAGCTAGCTGATGTGTTGGAGGACTTGGAAGCCTCGCTGTGTGCCACAGTCGCATTTGCCTGGGCTGTAACGGAGTTTGAGAGAGGGGAGACAGGGCGGATAGAAGGCAAGATTGGCATCGGTGCACCGTGTGCCCAGGTAGCCCGCTTGGGGTTCGCGGGACGTGGCTTGACTGACGGAATCTCAGGCACAGTGGCTTGAGTAACAGCTGGTGGCCGGGCGGGGCTTTCTTCTGCAGTTAGTACGGGGCTGTCTGACCGTACGATTAATGATCTCCGGAACCACGAGGGCTTAGAAGACAATGTAGGAGAGTCACCAGGGGTAAGATTTGGTGACCTGAAGCTCTTCTCGGACTGCTTGCGGCCCAGCAGTTTCGACGAGGTGGAGGACTTGGGCCGTACCGGATCAACCGCATCGGCGAAGTACTCGTGGTTAAGCGCCTGGGTAGACGTTGGGCGGTTCTTGGGGTCCCACATAAGACACCATGTGACGAACTCGCTAAACACCGCGGGCCACATCGGAGGCTGAAGCACGGATTCCATCGCGTGTGGTGCCATCTTGGGGAATGTGAAACCGAGCTTGTGAGCAAGGCGCGATCCTTCGCGCCATTCACCACCGCCAATCTTGGCGCCCGACTTGCTGTACCAGTTCCCTGGGCTACCCATGATCTCACACACACGCCAAACTTGATCTACCTCGTTGCCTCCTGGGAATAGGGGCTTCAATGTAGCAATCTCAACTGCCATGGCGCCCATTGCCCACATATCGACTGGGGCCGAATACTCTCCTGCTCGCAAAAGGACTTCTGGTGCTCGGTACCAGCGCGTGGAGACATAGGTGGTGTACGGTTGTTTGGAGTGAGTCTCACGAGCAAGACCAAAGTCGGCGATTTTCACAGTGTAGACAGGAGGCGTGGAAGGAGGGGTAACGAGGCTAGAGTAGCGGCTGAAAGCGGAATCATTGGGGGCGGAGGTTGACACCAGGATATTCTCGGGCTTAATATCGCGGTGGAAGAAGTGGTGTGCGTGGATGTGGTCCAGACCTGACAAAATCTGATAAAGGATACTTTTGACGTGCTTGCCTTCAAAGTGTTTGTGGTCGCGGGCCTTCATCAACTGATATAAGTTGCCATCCATGTATTCCATACAGATGTGAAGCTTGTGGGAGAGCGGGTCGAGAAAAATATCGAGGGCAGGGACGAGGTGGGGATGAATGGGTAAGGTTCGTAGGAAGATGACCTCTCGCAAGTCTAGACATGGACCCAAGGAATCAAACGTCTTTTTCATCGTTTTAATTGCAACCTAACCAAAGAGTCAGTGGAAGCACAACATGCCACCAATCTTGTTATTCCATACCATAGTGCCTCTGCGGGCAATATGAGCACCGGCGGTCCGTACGCGTGCGACGGCGACACTACCGAAGCTTCCATCACCAATCTCCTTGATGACTTCGAAGCGGTCCTCGAGGGTTGCCATGGAGGTATGTGACCCCCGGGTGGGTGTATCATATGTGACGGTCATGTTGATGTCTCTTTAGGTCTGCCAGCAGATCGGGAGAGGAATGTGGAGGAGGGGCTTTAAGAAGGGTTCAAGTCAGCTTCCCGACATTCTCGGAATATCAGGCGTTCTTACAATTATGTAGAAGGGAAATTTTCGCAGTATTACCGAGTGAGTGTGTATGTATATAGGATGTCAATTGCAACAGGTGATCATGTTCCGAATGTTAGTTCGAGCCAGACGATTGAGTTTCCATTGACGGAGAAGTAAGGAGTGACGAGGTAGTTGGAGGGGGAGTGACGGTGGTCATGTAGTGGGCGCTCTGGGAGGATTGAGGACCGGGCACGATGCAATAAAAAAGGAAAATCCAGAATAGGAGGAGACCCGTTCTGGTGGAAACTGGAGGGATCGGAGGACCGAGGGTGAGCCCCTGACGCGGTGACAGCTCGAGCTCCTAGACGGGGGCGTGGAGACGGTAAATTAACGACTTTCGGTCGTTGCAGATCAGTCCACCGTGGCAAAAATACTTCGAATTTGAGGTCACTTGAAATGTGTATAGGTGAAAGAGTAGAAGGTTATAAGCATTAGAGTATAAGAAGAGTAAGAATAAAAGAAATGAAGAGAATTAAAAGAGGCATTGGCACACAGAAGGTGCACATAGAGAGGGGGTCTCTGGGTAAGAGAATCTAGAATCCTCAAAATACAGAAGAACTTTGCAATACTGAAATTATACCAGAAAATTTGAAAAAAAATGAAAAAAAAAAATAAACAAAAAATAAACAAATTTGCAAAAATAGGCCAAACAGAAAAATGCAAATTAAATCGAAATAAACCAGCTAAAACCAGCTAAGACCCCAAATAACGGGTTGCTCCCGTCTCAACCAATGGGACACTCTTCTTGGAAACGGGTACCTTATTTTCAATCTTACCATACAAGTCACCCAGGCTAGAAGAGCACTTTTGGAGAAAAAAAGAAAAGAAAAAAAAGAAAGAAAAAATAGAGAGAAGTCTGAATTAATTAAACATCCCAAGTTGCTATTTCCATAATGATGAAATGTGATTGTGATCACAGTCATACTTACTCCGTACTTCGTACATACTTGCATATTCTATAATATACCCCGATGTGCTTATCACATCTGTACATGTTGTCATTCCCTCGGAGTCTTAATCATCTGACCGCTCCGAATGCACGGCGCCTAATAATTGAGGAGGTTGGGCATACAATAATTGTGTGCAGCCTGTAACCGTTGCCCACGCAGCCCTAGCCTAAGCGTGTCAGAAGGGGTTGGGCCGCCTTGGTAATTTATTTGACTCGAGCAATACGGAGTTGAATTGGCTACCTCGGGACCCTTTCTCCAGGACTCATATCTGTTGTACTCTAATGATCTTCTGTTACAAGGAAAGGTATCTCATCTTAATTTGGAGACAAAATTAAATCCTGATCACCTTGATTACCCCGTCTCTGTACGAGTCACTTCCCAGCGGAGATGTGCTCAGGTTCTCCGTCGATGTACCAGATGTACGAAGCATGACGTAAGATGCAAGATGTAAGATGTACTGCGCATACACAGCTCGCAGACTGGGCAAGAACAGCAAGGAGAATCATTTTCCTCGCCGGCTTCTGTTCCTTATGTCATGTCCTACATTCGGAGTTCTACTCTCTGTCAGTTGCATTCTCACACGAATGGTAGAACACCGGCTGTCTTATTCTTTGGCTGCTAACGGACCATCCCTGTTTCAGTGCCTCACCTACGTAGTAGTTCGTGTTGGCCTCTTCACTTGGATTGACGTCGGTTGATCGGACATCCTGTGCCTCACTTTGTATTCAGCCACCTGATCTCCTGATGCATCGGGGCTCTGGTGAGGAGAGGTATATTGTAGGTACGTTACTGTCCGTTTTGTGACTGATCTTCCGACTGGATGGGGCCAATCACATACCATGGTAAGATGCTGGCACGGCCATGTGGAAGAGAATTAGTAAACTAGGTTCGCCGCCGGACGAAAAAGTTCGCGAGATGGAAAGGCAAGTAAACTTAAGCCGCGGTGGGCTAGGAATTGCATCTGATGGGTTCACTTTCCTCTTCGTTCAAATGTATACGGGTCTGGGCCCTGTATGCTTGCGAGATCGTTGACCGGTTTTTCCCCAGTCGTTTCTGATTGGGAACAGCGCACGGAGTACGGAGTACTCAGGTTGCCTTCGTGTACAACATAAGTGTGTTGGTGTGTCTGTTGCCATGGATGCCGGATGCGTTGAGTTATTACAAATACAAATGGATAGAGGCTAGGACATTTTACCAGCACATGCAACATGTGTATGGTCTAAGAGATTCCACTCCAAGTGATGACAGTAAGATCAAAATCCGTGCCCGCTATAGCCACTTCATGGGAAGTCTCTAACCGCATCATTCCGGTTTCTCCACTAACCTCAAAGCTAACGGACGCGGTCCCGATAGCGCAGGCTTAAAGCCCAACGTTCTTACGGAGCATGTTGTACACAGCACAGAGCAAGTACAACACAACACACACCTACCTTAAAAGATGTAATTACCTGCAGGAAGCGGGATAGAATGCACCTGTCAGGCGGACGAACCCTGGGGCAATCTTTGTGGCCAAGGATCAAACGTATTTGAACTCTGCGAGGCTGACTTGAAGAGAAATTGACCAGTCCATTTCAACTCATCAACTCATAACAACCACTGTTTCAATGTTCGGCGTTTGCCCCTAATCCGATCTCATTGGATTGCAGGTACATGAAGTACAACATTCTCAAAGTACTCCGTACATAAATCCAAGGGCCGTACCGAAAAGAAACCAAGGTTGAACTTTTAGTGGGCCAACTCACTTTTTTTTCAGTTTATATGTTGTACGTCTCTCTTGACCGCACAAAAAGGGATTACCATCCGGGCAGGAAAACAACGGGACACGACGTGGAGTAATTCCGTACACACCGCGTACTCCGTACAAATGTGCAATGGGGATTGTACACAGAACACTCCGTACCAGAAACAACATTCTCTCTAAGAACACATTCCACTTTCTTTCACTTTCGAGTCTGTGATTCGCTCAGTGGGGCTTTCTACTCCACGCGCACCATCCACAGGCCAATCATCAACGACTAAAGTTCAGTAGTACGATGGAGTCCATGCGCCAACAATGCCATTGGCCCCATTTTCTAAAAACAACCCACTTTATCCAAGGATTGTGCCTATGACGACGCGCTCTTTCTCCCTCATGAATGCCTAGTTACGCACCGTCGATTCGGGGGACTACGGAAGGCTCCACTGTGGGCCTCATCTAGGCAAGTCCTAACTACCCGCGGAGGGCCGCTATAGGGGGGGAGGATCGCAGTGTCGCCACTTCGGAAAGGAAACTATTCGCTTCCCAACCTGCCGGGAGGCGCCATCTCGTTCCTTTGGCCTTCGAGAAGGTTGTCCAGGGCAGTGTTCATCGAATGTCCGGATTTGATGCTAGTCAACGGTCTCTGAATGATTATCTTTACCATCAGATGGGGTGATTATTGCCCATGCCTAATCACTCCATCAAGCGAGAGCTTGTCCGGGGCCAATCCGCCTTGGCCAACCTCGTTGCCCCCCTTGACAGGCAATTCCCTTCTCTAGAGACTAAATGAGCTGACCAACGGCGAACACACCATCACAGGGAGGTTTATCCCGAACTTCCTAACAGCCAATATCGAGATATGAACCTTCAACTTGTCACACTGCCTTCGACACTAAATCACACCTCGGCCCACTTCAAACGCCGAAATCTCTGTGTGTGAATTTCCAGAATTCGTGGAGGCTGCGGGAAGGACAACCCCCTTGATCGCTGAAATTGTCAGATCTAAGTTCCAGCTGTGCACGAGGAAGGGGGGCTAGATTAGCTTAAATAGTCCCTTAAAATTGGTTTCCTTTAGTGGGTCCCACTGTCACTCCAGTCCCCTTCGATTTATATGAAGCTTTGGCGGATCGGGAAGGTGTCTACTCCGTACAGCACCACATAACAGGTACATCATAGTCTTTCACTCAAAGAGTCAACTAGCACTAGCCCTCAATTCTGCCTAGCGTACGGAGTACGGAGTACACAATGGCAGTGCACGCAATGGCAGTGCCGTTTCTGCATGCCATCAATTTTCTTCACGGCCAATTCTGACTCCGGGTATATATATTTTGTTCGCCAGCTAAGGCGGTCACGATATTTTTTTTTGCGGATGTAGTATCGCAAGAAGGTATATATCTACATGGCGATAGTCATAGATACCCCCTCCCTCCCCTGACCCTGTCGTGTTGCCCAAACTGGGTCCCTTATGTGTGTCATACCTGACTAGCTTATTCCACTGCTCTGGAAACTAATGTCCGTTATCCGGTTGGGTTTGAAACTAGCCCCTGTCGAGATTAGGGGATTCCCCTATGTTATAAGCAGAGGCAAGTAATTACGCTTGATGCTTCTATTTGAGGATCTTTCTCCGCTTCTTCCATAGTTTTCTGGAAATGAGATGAGCGCTTTCGGATACTGGTGCCTTGGATGAAGTGAGGATGCGGTTAGATTTGAGTTAACTCCTTTTTTGAAGGTCATGTAAGAGATGTGTCTACTATCTCAGTTATTGCGCTACTACAACATAGGGAATAGACTTGGTTATAACCAAGGTGGCCCTGGTGATCCGTGCATGTTTCATCTTTGCTATAAAACACCACAACCACAGAAGAAAAGTCGCTTATGCAGCCTTGTCATGTCTTTTTTTTTGGTTGCCCAAGTTGCTAGTCTTTGGAAAAAAAAAATTGCGTGTCTTTCTTTAGCAACAGTTCCTCTCCCACCCCGCCCCTTCGTTGGTGTCTCAGCTCGAAGGTTAAGAAGAATTAGCCGCGGGACCAGCCGCGGGACCTTGAGTCTAGTGAACAGGGTGTAAAAATGTGGTGCCTTGAAGTGAGGTGAGAAGGCTGTTCCATTTGATGTTACTCCTTTCGTTTGCTACCTCTTTTTTTTGTCCTGCTACGCAACAGACTAGACATGGGCTTAAGGTTGCTTCGTGTGTAATTTCACTCTCAGCTATGTGCTCAGCTGTTCTATATCTATTTGAGAGTTGACTACCAAACCCTGAACTGCCCCTCTATTTCGAGTACCATTTTCGCTGTTATACCTTCGGTCCTTCTTGTCGAGCAGAGCTTTGAGGCCGAAAGAACAAGCAGGTCCATAGTTATGACGGAAAAGCAAACTCAGGGTGATTGAAGTGGCAAGGCCAATACCCTCACTTTCGGAAAGAGCTACCCAGGCAGCTGCCCTCCTTGTGCCTTCCTCTGATATAAATTGACTACTGTCCTCTTTGGTTTTCTCTTCCTCTCCCACATCCAGCCACTACACCTACTCTGTGGAGCATCTGACGATTTTTGCAATTTTCTACCTGAGTCTTCTACCTTTTTAGAAATACCACTCTTTGACCATGCCTCAACGACGAAGACGGCCCCTCCTCAGCCTGTTTGCAGGGGGGTACACACCCCAAATGAGAGAGGCGTCAGTTCACCAAATCTCCCTTAGGGTGTAAGATAGTTGCTAACAAAGTATCGATAGAGTGGACCAAGTACCGATTCCGAACGAGTCAGTATTTTCACCTACCTTAATCTTCAAATGTTCACCGTCATAGAATCAAATGTTGCGTCTGCAAGCGGCGTCGTCCAAAGTCTCTGTACTCAAACAACCAACTGAACTATCTCCGCCAGGCAATATTCGATCTTGGCTATAGCAATGTTCGTGACCAGCAGGTTGCAAAGTGTGGACCATGCACAAATTCTCAGGTCTGTGAGGAGCTGTGTCATCGTTGCGGTCACTACCGTGCCATCGACCAATTCGCCAGAAACCAACGGAATCGCGATAGTCCGGTATGATTTTCTTCAGCTATGCAATGCGAAGGCTTCTAACGCTTGCTTTGTTCTTATAGCTCTGTCAGCCCTGCATGAACTACCAGATGTCCCTCGATCCTGCCGATCAACCTCTTGCAATCATGGACAAGGTCGTGGCTGAGGATACGGGAGAGGATGAGGAAGAGGAGCTTAACTCTGAGCCTGCTGGTCGTTCTGGATCTGTGGCTCTTTCTAATTTTATGGAACACCCTGGGTCTGTTAATCTCTCTGGCTCTCTGGGTCAGCCGGTAAATGATCAGCATAACGTCAGCTTTGCCCAAGACTTCCTCTTACTGATGCACATCCCGTTACTACAGAAGAGTCTAGAGCAGGGCATCGAAAGGGCTCTTGTCCTGCACGATGATTCCACAGAGAGTGAGGGTAACGGTAACCGGAGCGGCTTCGCAAGGGTCAAGGTGGGTGACTTCATTTTTAATAGGGCTTCTATATCTCTGAAAGATTTTTTCCAAAGCTTAATTCTATAGGCGCACCGTGCCCATCAAGAGCCTGTTCCCGACCCTGAGCCCGCCCCAGGTTGGGCACCCGGTACTCGCAAGGTCAATAATGGTGCTCCTTGGAAAGGAGGAAGGTTCCTTTAATTCTTTCCAACACCATATCAACCTCCGAGTTGTGAAAGATGATGCTTCTATGGGAATTTCGGCTGCTAGGCTGTGCTAATGCAGTCCACGACTTGCTCTTCTTCTTCCAATTCTTCTATCTCTGTAGTACTCCCGGTTTCTCGCTTGCTTCTTCATACAAACGGTTTGACTACTGGGTACATCTCTGATGTCTCGTATATATCCAGACGCTGTTTCTCGCTGTTTCGTCGGGGGAAGCGAGTTTCTCGTGATTTTAGCGCTGTGACTGGTGCGTGTCTTACAGGCAACATTTTTCACATTCTAATCTACGAAACTTTCATTTACGGTGTGGGCTTACAAGTCCGCGCCTGATTAAATCCTGTCTACTTCTTTTTCGCTTTCGTTTCTGGATTGAACATGCTTTCTGAAGATACAGACGCCAATCCAAGTTTACTTTTTTGAGCTCCCATGGTTCGGGAGGCAATAGTGCTGTGGTTATGACATCAGTGGCACCATCAACCCCACATACTATAAATAACCTTGGAAAGCATTTGCAGCTTGTAGCTCGAGTTCATGGCAGTAATTCTAGCATGTTCTAGCTATTTGTGTTGGGAATGTGAGGCAATGGCAAACAGAGTAATTCCTTTGATTATTTGAATTCTCCGACAAATTTTTGGTTTGTTCATTCCAATAATAGTGTCAGGTCATCACTTTCGTAAGGTTAGATGAGGGCAGCCCAACAGAACAACCCTTCAGACTACAGTAATTCTCTGGTCTGTCGATCGGGGCCCAACCGTCGGATCCGAGCCGACGGTTGGTGATGACATAGCTCAATCTTTGAAATAGTGTTCTTGGTAATTGTGATAGGTGCAAGGGCAACTATAATGCACACAATGCATGGAATATGCATGCTCCGTTAGTCTGCCGATAGTGTCGCTGTGACCTAGTCTAGCAAAATGACAGAACATCTGTGGGACTATAATATATAGAACAAAGGGTTAATGTATTCACGAGCGACCGCACAATGTGACGTCGAGGGAGCACAAAGAGAATGATTCGCAAGCCCGTCTCGCTCTTTGTGACGATGTGATCGCCACAACGTCTCACTCGACCCCCACCAGCCCCTCTACCATAAACTATTAGTAACTCGTGACCTCTCTACTCTTCTTCCTTTTTAATACTCCTCTCCAAATTGATTCATCTATTAAGAGCGAAGGAACACACTTCTTTGTGCAAAGAGAGCAGTCCAGCCTCTATACCTCCGGACCCCCCCCCGTATGCTCTACAGTGGAAATTACGACAGGCATGCATATCAAACGGGCAAAATGAACCCAGATCCAAACAAAAATGGGTACTCACCTACACCCCCATTTTCATCCCACCACGAACCAGCCTACCTGAACATGCCGCGGACTGGTTCGCCAGCCTCAAACCCAACCCCAGAGCCCTACAACTATCCAAAATCCCAGTGCTCTGTCACAAAAATGGACACGGGGCATATAGACAATGCAGTGAGCTCTGCATTCTACAGTAGTGGCTCTGCAAGCTACCTTTCCCCGGAAGTTCTATCGCAAATCACAGCAATGGTGATCCAGCAGCTCAAGATAACTGGGTTAGACAACCTACAAGGATCCGGTGCGCCCCCGCCCCGCTCGCAATCGCAGCAGCCACCATGGCAAACAGATGGCTCCTTGCGGCCGCACGCAGAGTCCTCGCCTGCAATACCCCTGCAGCGAAGCAGTTCCATTCCCCCGCCTAGTTCGGCCTCTGAAAATACCCATACTGAACATTTCCGGCCATACGTCTCCCCCGGTTACACTAGTGATAGTCATCTTAGCCTGAAACCTACTCCTGATCCCCTTGCGAATAGACGTGGTTCCATATCGAGTCAGAGTAGTGATCGGAGTCATCATAGCCGCCATAACCTGGAGCGTCCGAAACCTCCGGATCGGGACGCTACTGTTGTGGAGATGACAACTCTAGAGCGGATATGGGGGAAATTGTTCGAGGAGGGTAAGGCGACGAAGAGGCTTGGCCAATTCTTACGTGGGATTGCGGTTCATCTAGTATGTGGACTTTTGTCTGTTCTGAAATGCTTCAGATTTTGATGGCTAACTTGAGTAGATTGAGGACTATCCCCCGGGAAACACCATTGTCATTCCCCCTCACAAGTTACAAAAGTTCTATCGTGATACTTATGATCCGAATGACCCTTATCCATGGCAAGGTTGGTAGTTCGATCTGTTCATTCACATTCCAGATTCTAAATAAATCCCTAGACATCTTCGACGATCGTACATCTTCAATATCTCGACTTTTCCGCGAAATCAAAGTCGAACATCATCTCATCCAAGATGATGTAGAAAAACGCCCAGATATTCCAGGCCTAACACCCAAAGGCTTCGAGACCTGGGAAACCTTGATGATCCTCGCGAACCCAGGACGCGAATACGACCGTCTCCAAAAAGCAGTTCTGAACATGCCCATCAACAACCCAGATGACAGGAAAGAGCGCTTCCCGAAGGAACTTCCGCGCCGTCTCTTTCCAGAAATCGGAGATCTCGAAATCAGAGAGGATATCGAGAACCGCCTGATGGTCCACTGCGGCGTCGATCTACCATCCATCACCCCCGAAGAACGCAACCAATCCGCCGCCCGACCAACCCGATCATGATGATGATGATGATGATGATG